AGAACCTGAAGATGTTTTTTATCAATGTTTTTAATGGTTTCAATTATTTCATTAATCTCAATATTACACATATTAAATTTTAAAGAGTTTTCATTTTCATTATCAACTAGGGGATCATTAATGTTGACAGGAAGATTATAATTTAACTTAACGTCTTTATTAATTCTTTCATTTACATTTGTATATCACACCTAATTAAAATATATCTTTTTTTTCTTTAGTTATTTCACACATCATATCTTTAAACAAATTTACTTTATCTTTATCAGTTTTGGCAATTATATTATTTCTTACAAGCTCAGGCACTTTAATTTTATCATTGCCATCATTAACATTAAATTTTCTCCAAAAGCTATTTGCATCTTTTTCACTATCCAGATCTTCATAATACTCATTGAAATCTTTAATTTTTTGTTTATTAATTAATTCTTTCACTATTCTTTGTTGTTTATTAAAAAGTTTTTTGTAATATACTTTACTTATTTTTCATATATATATATATATATATATATATAGTCTCTTAAATTTCCTATTTTCTTTGATAGCAATTTCAATTTCTTTGGTGAAACTCCAACTTGTTTTTTTTTTTGTTTATATCTCGGCATGCTATTTTTTACAGCTAATTTAAAAGCATTATTGATAATACTGACATATTCTTCTAATTGATCTTTATTTTCAGCCTTTTCAAAATTATAACCATTTAATTCTTTTCCAAAATATCATTAAATTTACCCCAATCGGCATTTTTAATCTTGTATTTAATTTTATACTCTTTTTTTTATTTTCATCATTTCTTATTTGATCAAAGTATATTGTTACAGGGAGATGATATCACTATTTACTTCATCTCCTACTTCAAATTTTCTTCTATATGGACCCCATTTGTCAGTAGTCAGGATGTAATCTAGTATATCTGATTCTCCAGTTCTATTGTTAGTATAGGTATAGCTTTCATCATTTAACATTATTAAGTTAAAAGCATCGATAATATTTAATAGAAGATTTTCATTAATTTTTTACATCCAAAAGCAGTATGTTTACTATTTAAATCTCCCAATATCAACATATTTGAATTATATCTTATCAAATTAAAAAAAAACATTAAAATATGGGTACTTTTTGGCAAAGTATAGAAATTAGCTATAATTATCTTTATTTGATTGATCCAGATATCAATATCTAAAATTTCATCATCAGTAGAGTTAAAAGTTGTAACTAATTCTGAATTAATATCTGACTGTACTAAAGTAACTAAACCTAGATTATGTTCATCTGGATTTCTGTCTTTTCTGTAAATATCAAAATCTTTTATATTAAAACTTTTATATTTGGTAAATCTAGTTTCAGATATACATATTATTTTAATGTTATTAGATATAATTCATTCCATTTACTGTTAATACCTCCTTGAATATTAATAGATGTAACACCTATATTATTCATATTCATGTATTCCAAGTAAAGATTCTTGGGTTAGTCACTTTCTGATAAACTATTTTAAAATCTAGTTTAAAAATCTAATTGATTTTTCAAACTATCACATTCATATTTAACAGTATCACTTCTGCTTGTTTTGGGATCTTTAATTTTAATAAGAATGTCTGCTAAAATCAGAGTAATACTATGTAAAATTTTATCTTTTAAATCATTCAACAATTCTTTCAATAAGGTTTTAGTCACATTGTGAGGAGGTTCTTTGAGAATTTTAGCATATGTTTTTTTCTCCACTTGTTTTAGTTGTGTTTTGAAGTTTATTTTTCTTTTCCTTATAATAATTGCAATTTCTTGAGCTTGCATGATGATTTTCATTGCAGTTTACACAATTCGATTGTGCTCTTGACAATGTACAATCTTTCACTTCATGATTCTGCACACACCTTACACATTTTATAATGTTAGTACAAGTGTTAGCTATATGTCCATATTGCGGGCACATTAAAACACTGTAATACTGGCATGAAGGTTTTCTATATTCTTCAAGTTTAAAATGTCCAAAATTCTACTTTAAAACCATTTTTATAAGCCTAAAAGAGTCATATTCATTTTTTAAAACACCTTTAAGCTTTATAGTTATCGTTGGTTCTTGTGTTCTTCTGTTGATTATTCTTTCTACCTTGCTATTTTCAATCCCTTGGTTCTTTAATTCCTATATAATATCCTCTGGCTTGATAGAATAGTTAATTCCTTTGATTATCACAATTTTTTGTCCGTGCATTTTGTTAGGAAGTGTGACATTAATCTTGGCTTTGTTAAACATTTCTGGGTTCCATGGTTCCAATAAATTTACTATACTACAACTTATCTTCCGTTTTAATAAAGATATTTCCATTCCTCAATTTTTTCAAATTACTTATCTTGACTTCAAGGAAATATTTTTTTTCCTTCCATATTTGTATATCATTAAAGTGTTCAGGAACTTCTTCTGCAATTATATTTATTGTTCTTTTAGATGTGTTTGAATTTCCTAAACTACTTCCTTCAGCCTAATTAGCCATCCTTTTACTACTCGACATTAGGCTTAACGTAAAGTACGAAATATACTTTGGCAAAGCCAAAGTTTATTTCAGATTTAAATACAAATCACCTACTTCGTTTTTTTCTTTGTTTTTTTTTTTTCATTCCTTACCAGTTCTTATCACAAAGTCATAACAATATACGAGAAATAACTCAAGTTCATATAATGTTCAAAGGCCAATTTTACTGTGTAAGTGTAACACCTTGAAACGAGAGCACTTAAAAACAAGTATTAACACTAGAATCTCTAACCGAATTCATCACTGATCATACATTACAACATGGTTACTATTTGCATTATGTTACAATATATATAAAATTCCACACGTGTAACCCTTGGTCATACAGTATTACTTGGTTACAATCCATACTCTGCTACAGCAAGCAAACTTTCACACGTGTAGCTGTTGGTCATACAGTGTCACTTGATTACTATTTACACTATGCTACAGCGTATAAAATTACACACGTGTAACCCTAACCCCCGATCATACAACATTGTATGCTTCCCAATTCATTGTATAGTGTCCATTTGATAAACCTCTGCATTAATCTGTCCTCTCACCTGCGTATGCGCATTTACTCTGTTTTTCTGTTCATCCATTTACTTATATTCCTACCTGTTTGCTCACCCCCAGTGGCTCAAAGGCAAGGCTGCAGATCTTCGACGCTAAAAATAGGTTTCGATACCTGTGGTGGACAGTCTACAGATAGCCCATTGTGTAGCTTTGCGCTTAACAACAACCAAACCAAACTAAACCTACCAGTTTATTCGCCCAAATGACTTTTCATATGTAAAAATGTCGGTCTATTGGCTCGTGATTTCGGGTACACGTCATCTGTATGTGTAAATCTAATGGTAGGCATATATTACACACTCATTTGTACGTGCAACTGTTTCTCAATAACTCCACTTCCTTACTTATCTGTTTATCCACCAAGTTTTCTGTGTATATATATATATATATTGTAACTATACCTGTTTCTCTCCCTTGTTACCTCCGCCACCGAAGATGGACGGAGGTTATGTTTCATCCCCTGTGTGTGTGTTTGTCAGCAAAATTTCTCGAAAACGGCTGAATGGATTTGGGCGAAAGTAGTTATACATTTGGACTATGACCAAACTTAGAAGTGATAAGTTTTGAGGGTCAAGGTCAAAGGCCAAGGTTACAGCAAGGTCACGAAAATAAAAAAAATCCTACTTGTTTACATGGGGACCGAATTTTTCACACTATTTATGTTCTCTAACTCACTCAAAAATGATCGGATTTTGATGAATCTTGGTGGACCTATGTAGAATATTATTCCTCATTGTTCTGTCAGATATATAGTTCTTGTTCGTTCATAATGACGGACATGCGGACACATCTTCATATTTTTTGAGAGCCGAATATAATCAACGCTGCATGGCGGAGGTATGCGCTCTGATGAGTACCCCTCCCCTTGTTTTATCTGCTTTTCCAACAAATCTCTTCCATTTCTGTGACTTTTTCAGTAAAATAGTAGAAACTCCAATGTTTAGTAAAACTTAGGACATATAAAAATATCAAATGACTGGTTTTCAGAAGTTTATACAAATGGTAAACTAATCTCTTGAACTCAAGATTTCTTTGATAAGACTCGATAATTGTAAAAGAAAACAAAAATGATAATGAGTAAATTCTGAAAGCTTGTTTCAGAAACTAGCTCAAGGGATGTCTGTACATACCCCCCTAATTTTGTTTGTTTGTAATTGTGCTCAATGCTACAAAATGGGCTATCTGTGTTCTGCCCACCACAGGTATCGAAACCGGATTTCGAGCGTTGTAAGTCTGCAGACATACCGTTGTGCCACTGGGGAGTTCCTGATTTTGAATATATAGACTAGAGGGAATGCAGCTAGTCAACAGCTCCCACTTCCAATTCTTGGAGTACGCTTGTTAGAACGAATGGTGGGATTTGACCGTCACCTTTCTAACGCACCCAAGTTCACCAATGCGCGAGGCGCTATTTTGCGGTAAGGGCACGCGAACCGTGAATCTTCAGGCCACAGTCTGGATGTGCTTATCTTTAATTAGCCTATGACTGGACCAGTCCCGAAAGCCTATAATGTTTATAACACACACAAGCATATTCGATCAGTGCTTTTTTTTATCATATTTTTCCATTATTATGCACTACATTTTTAATAGTTTTCACCTCTGACCTTTGGGAAAACATTTTGTTACTGCCACAGATGCAACAGCTTTATTCACAGACCGACAGTCAAACAATTTTGTCAACAAAAGAAAAAGATAAAAAATGTTGCTCATACGATGCGACAGCTTTAAAATTTTTGTGTGTACTTTTTTGTAAAATGTACAGTCGCATATACTTGACGTTTTCGCTCGTAAATAATCTTAATTTTCGGCAATCTTACATCGCTGAGTGTTGTTGAGTAGGGGGCGTGGCAAAACACGACTGACACTTATCTTTAGGAACAAACTAGTGGGGCGGAGATCAGGGTTCGTTCCCACAGAAGTGTGCGCTGTGTTCACCCATCTCTGGTAACGCACTTTGTAAGCAGACTGTCTGCAGGAAAGGCGGGACCTAGAGTAGAAATCACGCGAACAAGCGACGCCGAAGCACACAAACTAGCGAACTCCCTTGTTGGGTGCGGATGGCATAAGAGTCAACAGGTTGTGTTGAGGGAGGCGTGGACCTAATTAGGCTTACCGGTAGCGTACAAAACCTGGTATTCTATTCTGTTAACAGACAACTGTACAGTTTAAAAACATCACATTATCAGAGAAAATATATTGGAGTAAACGACCCTTTTGTCAGGTTTATTTCACATTATTGGAATCAACGAGATGTCCAAATTTCGTGCTTCTGATTCCGATAGTTGTGACCATTCCAACTCTGCTGAACAAACATCCTTCTCCGATCAAGCTGAGGTCCACGGGCACGAACAACTGGATTCGGACAATGAACGGTCAGAACTGGATGCTGAAGAGACCGGAGACAGTGAACAAGACTCGGGTAGTGAAAGCGGACGTTTTCCACAGACCATTCGTGACGCTGTCAGCCGCGTATTCCAGGGGTATCACTGGACACTCGTGCCAACCCCTACTCGCCCCAGCAGCTCGGACAAGCGGAAACCCCACGTGAAACGACCCATGAACGCCTTCATGGTCTGGGCTCAGGCCGCTAGAAGGAAGCTGGCAGACCAGTACCCCCATTTGCATAACGCTGAACTCAGCAAGACCCTCGGGAAACTGTGGAGGTAAGTTACATCAATCCAGCATTTTTCGAATTGACTCTTCTTATGATAAAACAGAAACATAAGGTTGCTTTAGAAGTTTTGTTTAATTATTTATTTGCCTTTATATTTCCTAAACCTAAATCAGGCTAGTGAAAGAAATCTTGCACAAAGATATTTAGTAATAATTGTAGGCAATGTATACCACTTAAATAATAATAAAAAAAGCTACAGTTGAAGATAATACCATCGAGATCCAATGGATGCTTTGACATATTCGCACGAACTTACAAACAGGCTGTCTCTGCTAGCAGACACTAATTCGGAACTGATAGATTAGAGGAAACTCAGCTGGTTAACAGGAAGTTCCTTTTGATTATTTTTGGGCTGTGTTAAACAAATAGTGGTATTTGACCGTCGCTCTTATAACGCACCAACGGCTCCAAAGAGCGGAGAGCGACTTGTTTAATGAGGTAACAAGACACGAACCGTAACTTCCTTGGGTCCACAGTCCGACACGCTAACCACTGTGCCACTAAGTGCCTTTAAGTTCCCTACTCCACCAACTCGTCAAGAAAATTAACAGTTACTTTATATTACTCGTGGTATTCTAGCAAAGCCACAAAAAATTATATAAGCCATCACACTGTTTAGAAAAGAGTTTATTTATTTTCTTAACTTACTTAATGACAGTTTTTCTGAAACGTTATTTCTACGAGGCGGTGTTAAAAATAACAGCGATGACCTAGTGTAAGACGCTTCACGTGAAAAGAGAACGCGCAGAAATGAAAAATATGACTTTGAATAATGAAACGATGTTATCACACACACACACACAAAAGAAGAATAAAACAAATGCAAAAAAAGAATAGTGCAAAATAGCATTGAAAGTCTTATATTTCATAAACAAGTAAGTGTCCGACTTGGATTAAAACATCTGTTAACATGATTTTCAGACACTGTATGTAATCGTTACATAATTTGACATATAAACTTTGTCCTATCTGAAGATAGGACATGTAACTAAACGTCCCGCCTACACACCCTCAGGAAAAAATGCCGATAAAAATTATCTTTCCAATGAAATAAACTTGTAATTTAGAGAATTGTTGTTATAATTATCTTAATCTTTTGATTTCTCAAAACTTGTGACCAAAGTTTAAAAACTATCAAAGTTTGATGGTTTTGGATGTACAAAATAAGCTGAAGCAGTGGTCAAACACAAAGGTTAAATACATTTTTTTTTCCCCTTTTGTAGCTTACATCAATTTTAAGACGGAAGATGCATCTTTAAATCACCCGTATTACAAGAAAAAATTTATATTATTTTCAGTAATATTATTGAAAGTTGGATCCCGAACCTTAAAATTCTTAAATCTAGGATCATATCAAAGATCGCATTATTTTCATGAAGTTGGACAGAAATTATGCAAAATTAAGCTCTGCAATTTGGTATTCCAGTTGCAGCATAGTCTAATTGCAGGAACTGTATAATTCTATACCAAAGTGAGCCATTTCTTTAGTCATAGCAAGAAAACAAAGCAAAAATCCATCAATTTATCTAGCTAACTATATATCTATTTATATATGTTAAGTATTAATCCAGAGCCTTGTAACATTTGTAGCAGAACGTTAACAACACTGTTCTATTTGAATCACGCTAATACCCTGGCGCTAATACTAGCTAACGGGGCTTAAGTCCCTATAAGATAACTCTTATTCTGCTCATTAAATAACCCCTGGTCTCCTAACCCACTAGTCCCCCCTGGTGCTGATACTAGCTAACAGGGCTTAAATCCCAATAAGATAACTCTTATCCTGCTCATTATAGAACCCCTGGAATCCCGACTCCCGCTAGTCCCCTGGTGCTGATACTAACTAACAGGGCTTAAGTCCCAATAAGATAACTCTTATTCTGCTCATTATAGAACCCCTGGTCTCCCGACCCAAGCTAGTCCATTGGTGCTAATACTAACTTACAGGGCTTAAATCCCAATAAGATAACTCTTATCCTGCTCATTATAGAACCCCTGGTCTCCCGACCCAAGCTAGTCCCCTGGAGCTGGTACTAATTTACAGGGCTTAAGTCCCAATAAGATAACTCTTATCCTGCTCATTATAGAACCCCTGGTCTCCCGACCCAAGCTAGTCCCCTGGTGCTAATACTAACTTACAGGGCTCAAGTGCAAATCAGCTAACTCTCATTCTGGTCATTTTAACATTTTCGTAAGTATTTACAAATTAAAAACACTTGGTAAATTATGGCAGAGTTTTACTTTGGAATTTTAAGAAATACATATGTTTTTGAAATAATGCTAAAAATAAGTGAAACAATATTTATTTATAACGTTTTAATTAAAACGTCAATTAAACTTATTGACACTCAGTTACGTTTGTGCACATATAAAAAACGCATACATTCACATTTGAACACAGCTTAAGGTGACATTTTTGTATATTTTTGATGGATTACTCAACTATGCACGAATGCATTCTGTGCGTTCTTGAGACTCATTTCACAGAACCATGATTGTGTAAAACCCATTCTGAGAACCGTTAAGAACTAAAAGGACGACATAATGTAATATATTAATCTTAAAGATTTTGTTTTGTTTGTAATTAAGCACAAAGCTACACAATGGGCTATCTGTGCTCTGCCCACCACGGGTATCGAAACCCGGTTTCTAGCGTTGTAAGTCCGCAGACATACCGCTGTGCCACTGGGGGGCTAATCTTAAAGAAGTGAACTAAGTATTAATGAAACCGAAAGGTCATAATGAGAGATAATTTTACGTGAACAATAGATTACTTTAATGCAAACATTAAAATTAGAACTTTTTTGTTTCTAGTTTGGAGAATCTATGAAGGCATTAGGTAACTCGTAGCATATCTATCTAAAAATCGATAAACTGAAGACAAAAAAAATTACTATTTTGGTATTGCATATTTTCAACCTGAACAGTGACTTATCCGAAACATGGACTAAATAATCAGGTCAGAAATCCCAATATTTAGACATAACAGTTTCCAGTTTAGTACTGGAAGGAAGACAACCAATCAGCAGCACCAACCATCTACAAGCTACTCTTAACCGAACAGCGGAATTGACTGTCACGGTTATAACGCTCCCATAGATGAAAATGCAGAGCATCTTCAACGACGTATTGCGGCTCCATTCTTGAACCTTCCGATCCTCAGCCCGCATGCTCATTAAGCCCAATCCCAGGCAAGAAATAAGAGGGATGTGCACATTAAGATGTTGTTGTTTTTAGATACTATCACAAAAGCTGTTTAGAATCAAGAAACGACTGAGTATAAGGTGGTTATATAAAAATATGATGGCCAGCCTTAACACGAAAAAAACTGAAGTTTTTGCTGCTCGGTGCATATTTTTTAGTCAGGGTTAGCTATTAAATTTTTTCAAACAACTCGAATTAGAGTTTCGTTTTCCAATCTGATTCATAATCAATCAAAACAGGGGAATTTTTGAACAGCTTAGGCAACTTTCTGATTTTAAAAAACAAACAAACACAAAGCAAAAATCATTCATTGTATGTTGCCCTGGAAAAAGTCACTGGCTTACAAAGAAGGTTATACACGGAATTTGGAACTGAAATAACCAAAAAGTAAGCTACAAGGTGCTGACGAAAGGAAGTTGTATTTCACAGGAACTGCGTTTGCATGTTCACGAACTTCAGTTAAATTAACGGTAAGGGCAGTTTCAAAAACTGTGTATCGAAAATTTGAAAGACTTAGTGGGGGATCATTGCTTGGAATTAACCCACTTTCTACCGTTTTGTTTAATGTGTACATATTTGAATGATTAAATAATTGTTATACAATTGTCTTGATATCTATCTCTATATATATATACATATTCAGTTATATTCTATTTTTTGTTTGTAATTGAGGAGAAAGCTACACAATGGGCTATCTGTGGTCTGCTCACTACGGGTATCGAAACTCGGATTCTAGCGTTGTAAGTCCGGCAGTTATATTCTACCAAATCAAAAATTTTAAAGTCTAATCAAATTAGAGCCGTTATCTATAAAAGCTATTCACTGAGGCAATAATTTCCGTGTAAATGATACGAACGGTTACACAAGTTGACGATATTGGCGTAGCGCACAAACAGCTTAATTTAGTATTGCTTTAACCAATGTAAAGTTCATTTCTTCATTACTGTCATTTTTTTTAGTTTACTCATGAATTGGTATATATATATACTTCTGTCGTTTTAGCAAACCGCAATGAATAGAGAAATTATCCTCAAGAGTCTGTTTTCCCATACAGTTTACGAATCGGTTAAATTATGTGTTATTTCCCTTAAGAATACTAAAGTATTTTAGGTTAGTAAAAAACAAATCAGGCTTACATTTCGCTAAGATACAAAGAATGTGAGGAGGCGGACGTTGGTCTTTCTGGCGTGGTCAAAAGAAAAAGTGAAGTTACATAGTACATATCTGTATTTAGTTATTTTGTTGTTTTTTCCTCTGTTTTTTATTTTTCTAATTACACTGCGACAGGAAGTTTTCCTTAAGTACCAAGAAGTTGTTAGCGTAAATCACACTGTAGTGGCAGTCCTCTAATACAACGATCCTATTACAGTCATTAATAATGACGATGAAGGTTGGACGTCATTATGCATGTGTGTGTGTGCTAAAGTCATTTCTAACATACAAGAAAACGCAAAATTCTCGTCAGTTAAAAAAATATATAACATTATTTGTAATGTTGTTTACAATGACATTAGACCCATTAGTTCTTATCACATATAACTTATTAAAAACACAAAGAAAACACACCTATGAGGCCTATTTTTTCTAATATTGGAACTTTTAATTATACGTTAATTTTCTAAATACCTTTCTAAAATATTTCATATATTCCAACAACGCTGATAGTGATAGTTTTACATTTTCTAACAATGTTTAAAAATATGAGCTTTGCAAAACCTGTATGGTCAGTTTTTATGTTGGATCTTCAACTACCAATATTCCTCTCACTGAGACTACTGACATGGT